ATACCACTCAAGTCCATCACCGAAATCAAACACGCTTCATCAGAGTCGCACGGCTTGCACGCGTCGGGTACACCAAAGACCAGAGAAAAGCTCAGAAGCGCCGCGAAAATCATCAGAGCGCGGTGGAAAGCACGGTAGCACGAAGAAAAACACTGCGTCCCCGCAGAGAACCATGACTTCTAGCAGCTCTTGACTATCCTTGGTATGCGCCTACAAACTAAGTTATGCCTCCTGCTATATAGTGTACTAGCTCAAGCACCAAAGTCTCCCATGGATTAATTAGTCATCCCCAAAGTCAAGTCTATGACGTGTTATTAGGAAAAGAATGTGATGCATGAGCAACACGCCACACACATAAGCAAGTGGTGTGGGAGCTGGGACTATCAATGCAAGCAGTTAGTTGTTCAAATTAGCCACTTCTCTTCATGGCCTATATAATGAGAGCCCAATAGTCCAAGAACCTGAGCCTCCGCTCTCCATAGCTCCACTCTCTTCTCACTCTCTCAACTTCCTTGCTCGCATGCACGCAAGTCGCATGCAGTCGAGTTGACCTTTACTCACGGGGCGGTGTGCACTCATGAGCATCCCCTCGCTCTCCTCTCTTTCCCGTGACCTTCTCCTTGCACCTCTCCTTCCAACCCGAGTTGCCCACAAGCCCCACGAGCTCGGCCATGGCGTTCACGCATGAGGCAAGAAGAACGCTCTTAGCTTTCTCTCTCTCCCATCCCATGCATGTGTATATGACGCGTGGGCCCTGAGCAACAGCACATGCAAAAGAACCATGCCAAACAACCACGTGAAGAGCAATGAATATTCCCTAATCACGCATTAGTCTTTTTCCGCGTGATTAAAATTATGGCCACCTTGCACAATTAATATCTCTACTATGCTAACTCCGATTCCATCACTTCTTCTTCCTAAATTCATCTAAAATTAAACCCTACCTATTCATAAAGTTTCATAATTTTTGGAACGTAGTTGAATTTATGTGAATATTTATTTGTGTCTGTTTGCCGAGTACCGCGAGTTCGACTCCGACGGAAGGACGTCGATGGATCGCGGAGTCATCGGGAGTTGCTGGAGAAATGGTACTTTTGGAAGCGTGATTAGATTTCTAAGAAATTCGGCTATCGTTGACTATTTACATCTATGCATTTGCATCAATACATATCATAATAGGAACGATGGTGGATCGATGGTATCAACTGGAGTAGCTGAAAAGATGGTGCCAGGAATCATATCATGAAGATGGAATGCTAACTTTTGGTTATATTTTATCCAGGCAAGTCCCGGTGCATAACCTCTATTTTTCTGCAGTTTAAATTATATTTGTGCATTAAGTTTCAAGGAGTTGAATGAAGCCCACTTGCATATATATCTTTATCCTATGAGTCTTACTAGTATGACAGGATCGTGTAGATTGCTATGCTACAGGACTCCGGTAGAAGTCGAGTGATTGTCTATCACTCGCGAGATACAGAAAATATGTTACTATATGTTTATCACTTGGAAAATATCAAAATGGTGGAAAGAAAAATAGTGACCGGGCAGGGATATGGTTTGGGTATTGGTGAGCGTAAGGAGTTGTGTCGCCGTGGACACGGGGCATAGCTTGGTTACACTATTTTTCGCTGTCTGGTCGGTTAAGGACCGATCGTTGCATATGACTCTAGGCAGGTCACAGACTTATTATCCCGAGCACATACTTGTGTATGGGCGCTTGGAAGACTTGTTGCTCTCTTGTCGTGGATCCGGCTCTTTCTGGGCCGACTGTTAGGGTTTGTTTTGGTGGAGGAGGTCCTTGCACCGCACTGAGTCTGGGACTCAGGGGCGGGGGCTTGGAGTCCCAGTTTGGACGGGGACCTGGACACCCGGGACAGGAGAGTGATGGGTTGGTCCTACTTGTGCCTGAGGTACAAACGGGACGTGTGTTTTCGGGGTACCCAGCTGGGGGCATTGATTCGTGAATCGCCGGGCTATCCGGTACGGCTTGTCTACGGTTTAGCATCGTAGTAAGAACTGAAGATGAAAGATGAAAGATGGAAAAGGAAATCTGATTGCTTACCCCCTGCTTGAAAATAGCACAGGTGCTTACATAGAATGGTTAGTTAATGAACCAATGCGGCTATTAATAAAAATCAAATATAAGGACGCACGCTTAGTAATGCTTCCTGCAAATGCAACCCACAAGCCAGATAGCCATGCATATCCTTGGAGTCTTTTCTTTCCTCCTGTCGGGTAAGTCTTGCTGAGTACAATTGAGTACTCAGGGTTTTATTCCCCCTGTTGCAGGTGACAGGTTGATGCTAGAGCTGACCCTTGTGTGTGGATTCCTCCTGGTGGGCTCAGCGAGGATTCCTTTACGTTGCGATCGTAGTTTTTATTTATAACTCTCACCAAATGTTTTTATAAATGAAAGTTTCATAATCTGTTATAGTAGTTTATATATCAATACTGCATCATATCATTAATAGATGTTTATTTCCGCTATAATTCTGATCACATGTTTAAATTTCGATGTACATTAAATTATTTATAACTCTGATAATATGATTACATTCCGCTGTTATACAATAACTATTATACTCTGATGTTGTACTAAAAGGGATGTATGAAATGGTTAAGAATGATGTAAGCTTTGTTCTCTCATTTGTGAACCTGATGGCAAAAATGTGGATTTTCGGGTTCTCCCCTGGGGTGTGCCCGACGGAACCGAGTAATTTAGTGTTCTCCCTTGAGTGCTTAGTGTCTAATGGAAGACAAGCACTCCTGTGAGGCATTAGATTAGGCGGTTCTGCTACACATTGGGCACCCAGAACCTCTGCTCCTTCCACCACGTCCGCAGCGCGATCCTCTGCTTGTTAGCCTGCTGCCGACGTTATGGTGCATGAGCACCAGGGCACCCGCGCGCGCTGCGGTGGCTCCCGACAGCAGTGGCCCATGGTGACGACCACGACCCGGGAAACGGAGCGGCACACGCGCAGAGGAGAAGAAGGCGGAGCCAGCAGCGGTTTTGGTTGGGGCCGAGGACGGCTGCAGGCAGTGGAACACGGCGGCGCTGTGAGCTCTGCTCGCCGGCCATGGTGGTTGCGGCGACGCTCTGTCGATCTCTATCCCTGAGCTGTAATCGACCAAGGTAGGTAGTCCATCGGAACCCCCTTGCCCTCCTCTCCCTCCCCATGGTCTTAGATTAGAAAATGATGAAGCTCCAAAGAGCTGTCATGGTGGCTACGTCGGCGCTGCCGTGCCCCGTGACTCTGCTCTCTCTCCTCTTCCTGTTGCGCGGCGGGTGGCGGCGTGGCCGCGGCGGCTTCACTCACTCGCTCGTCCGGACTGGCCAGAGCACACGGTGGTGGGGGGCGCGCAGCCGGCGGCGGAGCGCACGGCCGGCGGTGGGGTGCGCGACCGAGACACCGCAACCGCGGCAGAGCTGGGCGAGGTCCGTGGCGAAGTCCGCACGGGCTCTGGCGGCGTGGTCGCGCAGGCAACGGGCTCCGGCAGCGGGGCGCGCAGGGGCACGGCTGGAGCCGAGGAGCCACACACGGCCGGCAGCGAGCTACGCGTGTCCAATATTGGGCTCGGGGTGGACTCAGCCTCGCCGCGTGCATCCGTCGCTGCCCTCGAGGTCAACCACGCGCTGGCGCTCGCGCAGGCCATGCCTGCCAAGCCACCTTCGTAGGTCTGTTTTTGGATAAGATGGAGGTAGAGGAAGATAACAGGATGAGGAGGAAGACGGTGACTAGGTCACTTACGGCTTGGCCCCACCGGCTAAAGAAAGAAGGGTATTTTTGGCATCGTCACTGGTCGGGCCCGTGTATATCAGGGCTGTCAAACGGTGGAAACCTAACCGAAGGCGGATGGAATGACGTGGAAAATAAAAAAGTTTAGGTACGTTCAAACGAGTCTGGATATGGACAGTGGCACAAGGTAAAAGGCTCAAACTCTACGGATCGGAGGGAGAGCCATCGTGGCGGCAGGCGGATACCGGGTGCTGTCGGCCAGGCCCAGCCAAAGACCAGGACCAGAACCAGGGGGCGGTGCCGTGGTGACGACATGGTTTCATTAGCGGCACGGCCCGCCGGACAAGGCGCTGGATGGCAGATCTTCTTGATGATCGACCTCGATGGCAGGGCTCAAACGCTCCCATCAAACATATGACGATTGTCAGCATCCGGCGTGTTGAGCATTACCAGCAGTCTAGTGGTAGAGTGGTACGCAAATCTGGACGCCGCGTGTGGACTAGTACGACGCAACACATGTCTACCGCAATTGTAACACAAAGTTTGAAGCACATGACAGAGTTGTTTAGTTACGGACTACGGAGTGTTTCATTCTTTCAGAAGAGGATGCTTGTTGCACGTTTTCTTTGATCCTTTGCCTGTTTCTTAATTTCAGATAAGAGGACCGTTTCGATTTACTGGGCCTGATGGTTTTCCGCAAAGAAAGTAGCAGGCTTGATTCTTGGTACAAAAGAGCAAACCACTAAGTACTGGGCCGGATGGTGGTCTTACATACAAAGAACAAATGTTGGGAAACGTTAAGCAAACTCGAGCTTAGGTTTTGGGCCACTATAACACGTATAGATTCAGTATTCATCCCCTAAAAAATGAAGCTTCAGCTTCCCTCATCAGATAGCAAAAATGAAGGTTCAGTAGGATCCTGAGTTTCAGACAAAGAGAAAAAGGAAATGGAATTTGCTTAAAGCAATCCAGGATCTACTCTCTTTCTCCCAACCGTTGGTCTAAACATCACCATAGTCCATAGCACACAGTTATGATGCCAACAGCAAAATGCCTAATTTCGCTCAAAACGACGACCAGACCAACAGAACCACAAGGGGTTCCACACTCATTGCAATCTCTGCCTTCGGCACCTGCATCTCTCGTAGTCTTCGACGCGCCTGAACTAATTGAACTCTTAGTTTTTGTCACACAGCACAAGACACCAAGCACTTGCAGCAGATTTTGCACGACATATCTACAACGCAGGATCCGTTCGGATCAAGGCTGGCTGCTGGGAAGCTTGCTGAGAATTGAATGCTCCGGCTTGTGGTCACACTCGAAATCGAGGTGAACGAATGCTCGCTCGACTTCAGGGAGCTCCTCAATCTTGATTTGGAGAGATTCTCCGATGGCGTGCGCCTCCTTAAGTGGCAAGTCCTCTGGGAGCTCGATGTCAACCTGTGAGAGTCCAAAGATCATATGAGATGAGCATGTTACAATCTAACAGTCGGCAGGTATGATTCTTGCCCAACTGCTAGATTCGTACACTACAACTACCACTTGCTATATATATTAAGTGAGATCATAAGAGAACCATGACATCTTACTCCTATTTTACCATTCTAGATTAAGCACTACAGTATCACTGCAGGAACAGAAAAGTTACGATACTTTAGACAACGATAATGGTTTTGTTTCCAGTAGTGCCAGAAGGAGACGACTGAAACCTGCTAGTTCCCAACAATGACATTAACCTTTCGAAACGACAAATCGAGTTGTTGAGACAACAACATTATCCAGTTCTAGCATCTAGGGATTTGAACAGATTAAGATAACACTATCACTTGGTTAGCCCCCAGCAAAGGACAAATGAAGGAATATAAGATATTACTCCCGTCCCGAATTGCAGGTCGTTTTAGTTTGGTCCCAAGTCAAACTTTCTAACTTTGATCAAGTTTGTATAGAAATATATTAACACCTAATATTTATGTGGATTTAATGAAATCAATTTGATCTTGTAGACGTTACTGCATTTTATTATAAGCTTGGACAAAGTAACAAACTCTTTTTCACTTAGAACAAAACTAAAATGACCTATAATTTTGGACAGAGTGAGTAAAATAAAGAAACACTTACCTCAACAAAGTAAAGCACCCCAAAGGTGTATGCCCGAACTGTATCAACGCGCTTAATTTGAGGATGGTGTCTGATAGCCAGATATGTCAACTTCTGAAGCATCTCCGGAGGAGCTGATTCACCTACCAGTGATACTGCATGGAGGATAACAATAGATAACAATAATAAGACTGTCTGTCACTGTCAGACCTAGCCAACCTACCAGTGATACTGCATGGAGGATAACAATAATAAGACTGTCTGTCAGTCCTAGCCAATTTGTAACGTGCAAGTAATCTTGGTGCTACATGTGGCAACTACTCTGGTTGATAGTGCAAAGTGATTCCAGAGCAAGCATTTAACTCAAGTAATTTCTATTTGTAATGGTAACACCACTTCAAGGTTAAATATCATCCATTCCTAGTAGGCTAGTATAAATAATAAGTCCATCCAACCTAGGAGGATGTAGGCATTTTTTCATTAAGAAGAGAAGTCCAGTCCATCCATCCAACCTAGGAGGAATTAGGTGTTTTTTCATTAAAAAGAGAAAATAGGCACCCAAATTCAAGGCGAGGACTTATACCTAGGTGGTTGGGTGCACAACCACACCTCTCACCTAACCACTTGAGCTAGGCTCACTTCCTTATCATGAGTACGATTGGACGGATGTATGTAAATGAGTGCAGGTAATTCTCTTTCATAAAAAAAATGAGTGCAGGTACTGTTGCCTAAGCAAATGTTCAAACTGAACAAGTAACACAACACAAACCTGCATTTTCCCACACCGTTCCGGACCAGTTTGAAATTGTGTACACTGCAAGGGCAATTGCACCAATTGGGTCAATCCACCAGTAGAATCTATCACCAAGGACAGCAGCAGCCAAGCCCACGACATTTGTGACAACATCAAAATAATGATCCTGTGAAAACCAATCCACCACAGATATTTGATAAACTATGTTCAATTTTAAGTAAAACAAAAAATCCATGCCAAGTTGAGAAATGGAACAAGATATTAACCTTAGCATAAGCACGGACAATCTTGTTACCAGACGTTCGGCAGTAGAGCCACAGAGCTAATTTCACTACTGTTGCAAAGATCATGATTGAATATAGCCACAGTAATTGCACTTGGTTCAGTTTGTCTGGAGCCTCATTCACTATCAGCTTTTCAACAGCTTGAATAAATACTTGGAAGCCTGCAGACGTGACACCAAATTAATGTAGATGACTTTGGCAGGAAGATCGCACTCAGTTGAGTATAGTTCTAACATGGCGGTACGCATGTCGCAAACAAGTAAGTAATCAAGAAAAGACGTGACTAGATTGCTTAACCATTTCCCGTTGGGAGAAAAAGCAAGCATACCTAAAGTGGCCATGACAGCAGCGAAGATGATAATGCCTACAGGCTGTACCCTCAGTTTGCCAATGGGGTACTTGTAGACATTGATGCTCTTCATTGACAGATGTGTGAACCAAAGGATACCACCAGCCATGAGATCAAGCAGTGAATCCAGTGTTGAGGCAGCTATAGCAATTGATCCACTTTTGATTGTAGCGTATACCTGAGGGAAAAAATAGTCTAATCATCCTAGAGGAGTTCATGAATAGGAATTGAAAAGTGGGGGGACGAACCAACCTTCAACGCTAAGAGAATAATGTTTGCATAATTTGATATCTTCATGGCAAATTCACTCTGGATTTGCTCCGCAAGCTCCTCATCCTCGTTGATTTCATTGGATTCTTCTAGTGAGTCAACTTCCTCAAAGGACCTCAATGTGGCAAATTGTTTCTCATAGTACTCTCTCTCCCCTAAATAATAGACCCAAAACACACCACTTTGTTAGGTTGTCGATAATAGAGAATTAAACTAAAGATATATAAGGAGCTTTTAAATTTAAAAGAAAAGGCAGAAGCTCTACTGTTAATACATATGAAATAGTCTATCTCAGTCTCAAAAAATAATAGGACATGAAAGAGCAATGTTAATAATATGAGGCTAGAAAATTATGATGGAAATACAGCATACACCAAAGACTATTCCCACTATCCCAAAATAGTTAACATTGTCCAGATTCATAGCTAAATTGTCAACTATTTTGGGATGGATAGGTGTTGCCAGGCTCAAACAGCTCCTCGACATGTTCTCGTCGGCGACCGGCCTCAAGATCAACTATGACAAGAGCACTATCACGCCGATGCACTTGCCGGAGGGGGCCATTGAGGATTTCCTAGGCGTTCTCAACTGCAACGTTGGCAGTTTTCCCCAAACCTACCTGGGACTGCCGCTCTCCAATGTCAAGCTCCCACTTTCGGCGTTCGCTCCGCTCATTGCCAAGGTGGATCGGTACCTAGCGGGCTGGCAGGCCATGCTGCTGGCCACAGCGGGCAGAGTGGTCCTCGTCAACGCCGGCCTCACCGGAGTCCCCACCTACGCCATGCCCCCCCCTCCTGTCGCCGCAATCGACGCCCGCCACCATGCCTTCCTGTGGTCCGGGACGGACAAGGCCACCGGCGCGAAGTGTTTGGTGGCCTGGGAGATGGTCTGTCAAGCCAAGGAGGATGGGGGCCTAGGCGTCAAGCGGCTGGACACCTAGAACGCCTGTCTACTTCTGAAGTTGGTACATCGCCTACACCACCCGCAAGGCTCGGCGTGGGCTATGTGGGCGCGCAGCCAGCTAAACCTCGCCGACCTCACAGGCGACATGGCCGGCACGCACTGGGCGGCCATACACAATCTACTTCCCGCCTACCAACACATCACGACGGTCTCGGTGGGGAACGGAGAAGACACCTCCTTTTGGCATGACACATGGCTCACGGACGAACCGCTGGCGGAGAAAATGCCGGCACTCTTCAGTCACTTTGTCGGCCGAGCCACATCCGTGCGCGACGTCGTCCATGGTGGCCTTCATAACATGCTGCAACGGCGACTGTCCAGCCAAGCCGCCGCCGATCTACAGCTGCTCGACACGCTTCTAATGGACGTCGAGCTTGACAACGCCCCGGACCAGAGATCTAACCTATTCCAGGATGCCGCCGGGAAGCTCCACTCAGGGCGATCACACGTCCCCCGCCTTCAAATTCGTCTGGCACTCGTTCGCGCCGCCAAGGGTAAAGTTCTTCGCCTGGCTACTCACAAAGAACAGGATCAACTGCAAAACCTGCCTCGTTCGCAAGAACCTACTTCAACATGCTACCTGTGAGATTTGTGGGGCTGCGGACGAGTCGGCAGACCACATTTTTTCAGGTTGCAGCTTCGTTACTACCTTCTGGCATGCTATAGGCTGGGCGCCGGAAGGGATAGCTCCGGTGACACAGCTCTGGGAGACGCTCACGCCACCGAGGATTCATCTTGACGTCGCCCACCCCATCATCATCCTATGCTGCTGGGAAATTTGGAAACACCGCAACGAGGTGGTCTTCAGAGGTTTGGAACCAAGCGTGGGTCGTCTTGTGGCTGCTTGCAAGGAGTCAGCACGCTCCTGGGTCTGCCGCATACCGAGGAAGAATGCTTCCCTGGCCGCCAAATGGAGAAACACCTTTGACATGTAATCGTTCCATTTACCCGAATCTTTGTAAGACTTTGTAACTTGGAGGGCCTGCCCCCTTCCACCAACCAGCTTAACTCAAAAAAAAAACTATTTTGGGACGGATGGATTAAATAACAAGAACAGTATTCAGACAATTAAGTTGGCATATACCAGAAAGGGTAGGATAAAAAAAAATCTCGGTTTTATTAAAGAAACATCGAGTGAGGAAAACCTGAGGATCAAAATGTAGGACCAACGAAATTGCAAAATCAAAATTAGCCTTGTGTACCATTGCAACCTGCTTTTTTCTGAGCACAGAATGCAATATTTCAATCAGGAGAAGAAGAAAAAAATCTGCTATCCTGGGATATTCAGGAAAAGGGGGCGCATAGGCACTAGGCCACACTACGCAGATCCAAAACGTGGTAAATAGAAACTGCAATTAGAAACAAACACCGGCTGGTACTGTACTATATCGATGTTCCCACCCTACATAGTCTTTTGTCGTGATGAATCTTAGTGTTCCAACTACAATCAAAGATTCAAAAGATAACACAGAGATAAAAGCTGCGGAGTGAACCATATGCAGGCACAGACGCACAGTTCAAAAATCACTTAGTTTGCTACGTGGTATCTGTAAAACTCATTTGCATGCCTGCTGCAGAACATAAGAAAGGAATAGCGTTATCTTCAGGGATTTTAACAAAAACAAACACCATAGTCCATAGTTTCACAGTTGTCTGTACAGAGAATCCAACAAACCACCTAGAAGGCCAGGGCCATGATAAGAGAACAAACACGTCGAAAAGGTATTTCCTCAACCAAATATGTAAAAGAAACAGGGACAAGAAGCACCAAGTGATAGTAAAGTCACGAGCTGTTCAATCATAAAAGTAAGAAGGGAAATCCTAGGAACCCAGAAAAGTCTGCGGCAAGGATAAGTGTCTGGGTCATCCGCAGAAGCATCGGATTATCTACTACAACTCCAGAATCTAGGATCAAAAGCGCATAAATCATATCACCAAGATACTCTGTAGATAAAGGAGCCCGATAGTAACGCCAGCTTTCTAGCACAATTACCAGATTAAGAAAACGAAACGCCAATAAAGATTCCAGGGACAGAGCGAACCAACCAACGACAAAGAAAAACAACCCGAGAATGCGGCGGGTAGTTGGGATTCCGGGATGAACCTTCGAGGAGGCCCTTGGAGCGGGAGAAGTCGACGTGCGACGGGCGCTCGGGGTCGACGGCGTCGAGCACCTTCTTGGGCAGCCGCGAGACGAACTCCCCGAGCATGGACGCGACCGAGTTGCGCCGCCGCCCGGGCCCGGCCAGGAGCGGCGCCCGCGCGTCGTCATTCTCCCCGCGCCCGTTGGCGTCCATCCCTCGCGCGCGCCCCCTCCGCTCTGCTCCTCCCTGGGCCGCCCCCCTCCGATCGCCTCTCGTCTGGCCTAGATTACCGCTCGCGATTCGGTCGCGGTCAAGGTCGCGGTCGCGTCGTCTCCTCCCCCGTCTGCGGCGCCTTGCGCATGGAGGGTGGGAAATGGCAAAGGCCGCCGTACCCGCGCGTTCTGCGCCGTGCGGTCGCGCCTACCTATGCCTATAAACGTGGGCCGCCGGCCGCGGTCGATACTAGGAGGCGTAACGCAAACGGGCACGGGCGAGGTCGGCGCACGGCTCCTACTGTCCTGCACCGCGAGATCGCGGGGTCGACGGCTCAGATCGGACCTATAAGACTGTCTCCAGTAACACGCGGCTAAATTAGAGTCTCATCGAGGTCTAAAATTGTTTGTCGCGTGATGAGACTCTAATTTCAAAAAATAGAAAACCCTTCAATACGATGACGGATGAAGATAATTTTTATATGTAAATTGTAGACCTCGATGATATCTACAACTTTGTACTTTTGAGTTTTTTCATTTGAGGACAGTAAGATGCTCAAAAAAATAATATAAAATTTCAGCACCATAATAATCGTCAACTAGCGCTTGCCGCATTAGAGCACTAATATATTATTTGTATGGAGTTAAATGAAAATACTTTTTATACTAAAGTTGTAGCTCTCAATGAGCTCTACAACTTTGTAGTTTTGAGTTTTTTCATTTGAGGACGTTAAGATGCTTAAAAATATAATATAAAATTTCGATGCCTCATAAAAATATCAAAAGTACTGTTCATACACAAAACCGCCCAGAAGGTTGAAAGTTGACCTTTTTCGAGAGTTGGAGAGACAAAGTTATCCGGTTTTGAAGTTCGATGTTGAAATCTATACTTTGGCGATAGCTGGAGGGTGTAAATTATATTTTACCCTAGATATTATGCTAGAGACCTATTTTGAGTTTGAGTTCTGCGACGTGTCTTCAGTTGAGACAGCCTAAGAACCGTTGACGCAAACGACATTATTTTATTGATGTAAGTCTATCTCTTTTATTTAGTCTAAGTAAAATGAGTTTTAAGTTCTGTGCGTTTCATTGTAGGAGACATAGATTTAAACCTTTCGTTTCATCATAAAAAGGGGTTTATATCTTTCACGAAACATGATATTTTTGTATGCGTACTAGAGTATACTCAGATAATGATGCACCGCAAATCCGCAACGAGTCTGCGTTTCAAAATAAGTAGTTAGCAGACTAGCCAGCAGTGAAAACATGTGGATAAGCTCCGGGGTGGCCAAGGCCAAGGTACACCGGTACATGTAGATCTATAATTCTATATGGTTCTTTTGGTAATAAGAATTAAAACAGATGGAGATGGTCCATCGCTATATTCTGAATAAGCACAAACAATATCAATATGGTAGGCAGACTGGTCCACTAGTTTCTTTTCCTGTTTCTCATCAAGAGGGCAAGGAAACGTAGGGAGCATTCAGGCTACAGACAGCAAACACGTGCCATCGGACATGTGCACTGTTCTCGCATGTGATTTTCAAGATGCGCACACTCTCCATGATCAGAGAGCCACACCCAAGAATTCGTTAAGCTATCATGTTCAGGACAGTTTCTTCTACGATGCAAAAACTCCTTGACGTGTATATATATTTCTCTGAAAAATTCAAACTATGCTTTCAAGATCAGACTAGATCAGTATATTTATTTCTAGGGCGCTGGATGATTTCTTTAGCCGAGTCCATTCTAAATCTAAGCAGGCAGTCCACATATGAATTTTCAGCCTATGACGAAACGGTGTCACCTAGGGGAGGAAGATCCCGACAACTGCAAGTCTGCAATGCACGTCCTTGCCGTCTGCTAGACGCCTTGTCCGGTCGACCCGGACCTAGAGTTTCCTGGACATTTCCACTGTCCTTGTCTGACATTTGTCGAAATTGTTCAGCGCAGTTAAGTTGAAAATGTCTGAAATTTGACGATATTGTTCAGCACAATTATGTTGAAAATGTCTGAAATTTGACGATATTGTTCAGCACAGTTTATTTCATTTACTTCTCTGTTCGATTTATTTCTCTGAACTAGTTTATGTAGAAGATCATTGATATTTATGACATCGATAGTTACACCATGAAACTATTTCGTGATGAATTCAACAACGCTGGTTTAGTAATATAACTATTGGTGTACAAACATGGTCAAATCTAAGATGACTTTGACTTAGTATAAAACTGGAATGCCATTCTTTTTTTTTTTTAAAGTGGAGGGAGTAGTATTTGACTATTTGCGTCTCGTTCATCAGAAGATCCGAGCGTCTAGTTTTGTCGTTTCCTTTTTATTTATAATGCATTGGTTTATAAGGTCAATTTACGCAAGGTTTCAACGTTGAGCAGCATTACCAAATGGCATCGTCTGGACTAGCAGGTGGCCATCATTTTTCTGACGAAAGTATTGTCAACCAACTCGCTCCAGATCGGAGTTCTAAACCGGCCATGCATTTGATATTGTGTAAAGAAACAATTCAGTAGGTTTCGCATCAGTCTTTTGAGGCTTTGATTGCTGTAGTCCCGGTTATTACAGTTGGCTTCTGTAATCCCTGTTATTGCAGTTGACCTAATACGTTCAAAAAAACATTTGCAGTTGACCTAATTCGGGAAACCCTGAGTCATCTAATGGCCAGCTGCTGTTGTCAGAAACCTACTCTCGTACTGGCGTTTACTAGACCGGAGAGTCATCAGTGGAAAAAAAAAACAAATTAAGCAGATATTGTTTGCAGGTCGGTAGATCATTTAGCCTAAACTAGCAAAGATCATTTGTGATTTTGCTAGTTATGTGGCATCAAAGAAAAGTTCAGGTATACTGAGATAATTTATTCAGGACCTACCCAATTGGTCAACTATTCTTCTTAACTAAGGCATTATGGCCATTTGGTCACCATTTGAGGTTCAAAGTACTCAGCGCACCACATATCAATCCGTGAGGAGATTAATAACTGGGTACAATTGGCAAGAGTCAGACGACCATGTTTGCAACCATTCACATAGTCCAAAATCAGAAAAGGCCATTTAGGTTTTTGCTAGTACCAATATATAATAAATGCCGCTTCAAAGAGAAGTTGAGGTATCTTACTACAGAGAATAAATATTCAGGACTTGGCCAGCCACTGACCTTTCTTGAGATTCAATGTGCTCATATGTAAACCATGTATGGACTTTTGCCTACGTAATTTCTTGCCTTGTTTCTACTGAACCGAAGTTCTGAGCAGAGGACTTGTAAGTACTGGACGGCTCGATCGGCGGTGGGTAACCTACTATTCTACTAACCTCACATGCCTCCAATCAGGAATATATATGCTGCAAATGACTTGAGATTCACATGATGCATGACGACAAGGAGAAGGAGAAATAAAAGAATAAATTTCACAACACCCACCAATGGACAATGGTTAATGGTCATAAACTTATAAACATTTTATGTAGTAGATTTCAGAAACCTACCACTATTTTAGGCTGGTTTCTCACAAACTTGAACTTTGTTGCTTTTTCCTCATTCATGTCCATCCAGGCCCTATCAGCATGTCACTGATGGTTCCATCGGAGTCGTAGTTTCGTGAGAAACCAATCCGAAGTAATGGTGCGTTTGGTAAAATGAGCACCGAATATCTGGACGTAGATGGGCCAGCAACCCTGCCCCAGTAAACTATGGATGATGTGATTTTGTCACCCTGAAGCTGCCAAGGTAAGATTGCATCGATTGATTTTGGCAATAAGCTAGCAGCCGCTGATTGCTTGCAAGAAAGTTCTCACGCTACTGAGTGAAAAATGTTAGATTTCAATTTGAGTGTATTCATCAGATCGGGATACTTAGCATAGTAGTAATAGATGTTCGGGATCACAGAGAGACAGAGAGGAAGGGGTGATAGGTTGCAAACCGTCAAATGCCGTAGTTGTCGAAGCTCCGGCCGGGGTTTCATTGACGGACGCCATCTGCGCGCCGGCAGTGACAGTCGGTGGAGAGGGAGTCGGCGCTGTGACGTCCTCGGTGGCGGCGTGCGCGTCGGGTGGCGTTGCCGGCGTCAGTGGTGCTTCCCGTCGCTGGCAGCGCTCCTTCTCAAGATCGGGTCTAGGGATAGGATATCGGTGGGGTGACTGGCGGCGCGGTGAACCTCGTACTGCGAGCCCCGGCCTCCACCTTTCCTTTATAGCGTTGTGCGACGGGGGCCCACCAACCATGTAGGGTTGGGCGCCTCCGATCAGGTCGCGAGGACAAGGCCCAGTTAGGCCGATCAATCCTAACATTCTCCCCCTTGATCTCTCATCTATTTTTCGTTCTTTAATTTCATACTCAAAACTTTCAATTCATATTTTTCTTGCTTCCATCCTATTTCATCACAGATTAGTACATAGAATTGTCCCATCGTCACAGCAATTAGTGCCGTTAGACTAACAGCCACAATACACTTCTCCGTTTTGAAATGTAAACTTTCTTTGGGCCCTTCGTATGTTCGGGAATCATAGGCTTTCCCTTAAACCCATGCCGGCTACGTGTTCTCTGAACACGTTGGGTGGTAAGCCCTTTGTGAGCGGATCCGCGAGCATTTTCTCTGTACTTATATGCTCAAGATTTATTATATGATCCCGAACTTTATCTTTCACAACATAGTACTTTATGTCAATGTGTTTGCAGCACCACTTGACCTATTGTTGTGAGCATCTTTGTCTCACCGGATTGTTATCACAATACAATCTCAATGGTTCATTTATATCATCAATCACTTTCAATCCGGGTATGAATTTCTTCAGCCAATTCACCTGCCCCGTTGCCTCATAGCATGCTACAAACTCGGCATACATTGTCGAGGATGTAGTCACGGTTTGTTTGGAGCTTTTCCACGATATAGCCCTCCTCCGCGAGAGTAGATACATATCTCGACGTGGATTTTCTTTCATCTCCCGCATAATCGAATCTGAATACCCCTCTATCTGCGGGAATCGGATCTTC